AAAAAATCGGAACTTTTTGCAGAGGGATAGAATTTATACAATGACACTTATTTTATTTAATATACCAAAAACGACGGAAATAAATTAAATTACTATATTTATTTGTCAATTTACTGTTCTTTTATGGAACAAAATAACTCTCAATCATGTACACTTTGGACATCATTCCATAGCCTGCTTACGCACGATATATTAACATGTCAGGTACATATGTAACCTTAGGCTATCGCATGGTATGCCGTTATTACGTGCACGCACATATGCATTTGCATTTTATATGGATCTTGATATTTTACAAACCACTATTTTCACAGAGTTATTGTAATTGCATTTGTGAACCGATTTATCTGACAGAGCGTAACTCGCTCGACAACAAAAGTCGTAGCGACCAAGAGCTTGTGAACTACTGTTAGCACGTGATACGTACAGGTGAGGTCGGTAAACAAAACACATCAGTCTGCATTCCAGGCGCCTCATATACGACCTTCTTGAAGTCGTCTGATCGTATGTCAGTGTTTTCCTGTAAGTTAATTAATGTCTTTGTATCATAAGCTTTATTTCTGAAGTACGTGTGATTACACATTTCCAAGTCAAGTCTAGATATCGGGTGTTGACATATCACGTCACGCACGTGTACTATTGTTTACCCAGTGTTACTATAATTTACACTACGGTAATGGAATGCCCGATACGCAATACGGAAATGACGACACGAAAATACGACAAGAAAAACATGTGTATTACGAAGGGTGGAAACTCCTTAAAACACCCACCCTCTTTGTGTTAATATTGGACGGTTTCAATATCTGTTCAGTATGTACAATAAAGGACAGTGGTGTCCTTTAACATACTTTACATGCTTTTGTACAAGTGTATGCATTACAGGTGTGTGAAATATGCCCAAGTAGAATTTAGTTTCATTTGAGTAATGTCGTCCAACAGTGAAGGTGCTTTCCCAGCACAGTCCCTGTGCAGTACATTTTGAGCATCAGCATTCAGTATTGAAATGGATTAAATTCAAATTATGTGATTGATTTATTGAAGAAAGTGTTACAGTATAATTCTGGGATTAAATCTGTGAGTCAGAATGAAATGAAAGAATTAAACCAGACAATTAAAGTGAGAAGATTTCAACAACACCTCCAATATATTTTCATCAAAGTTATATCACAGCTATGTATCTGGGATCATACACGAATATCTCAAGGGATAATAAAAAAGAAAGTTTGTGCACATAAATTGTGGGAAAAACTAGATTTCAACTGCCCCCAACTCAAAGTGCTATTGCTCATTCAAAAGCTTACCTGTAGCTGTCCAATAAGTTACCTGTAGCTGTCCAAAGTTACCTGTAGCTGTCCAATAAGTTACCTGTAGCTGTCCAATAAGTTACCTGTAGCCGTCCAATTAGTTACCTGTAGCTGTCCAATAAGTTACCTGTAGCCGTCCAATTAGTTACCTGTAGCTGTCCAATAAGTTACCTGTAGCTGTCCAATAAGTTACCTGTAGCTGTCCAATAAGTTACCTGTAGCCGTCCAATAAGTTACCTGTAGCCGTCCAATAAGTTACCTGTAGTCGTCCAATTAGTTACCTGTAGCCGTCCAATTAGTTACCTGTAGCCATCCAATTAGTTACCTGTAGCTGTCCAATATGTTACCTGTAGCTGTCCAATAATTTACCTGTAGCTGTCCAATAAGTTACCTATAGCTGTCCAATTAGTTACCTGTAGCCGTCCAATTAGTTACCTGTAGCTGTCTAATAAGTTACCTGTAGCTGTCCAATAAGTTACCTGTAGCTGTCCAATAAGTTACCTGTAGCTGTCCAATAAGTGGATTCTTTTGTGTAGTTATTGGACGGCTACAGGTGATGCCTACGAATTCTGTTGGATATAGTATGCAAATAACGATGGATGACATCACAGCTGTGTTTTGATAACATTTATTTGTCTTACAAGGGTAAACCCCCCTGAATGGAATATCCCCACTCCAACAGCTCATTACAATCTCTTACACTTAAGTGATACCAATGACAGTGTTACACTGTTTGAGTTTACAGTACTTACATGGAGCCAATGACAGTGTTACACTGCCTGTGAGTTTACAGTACTTACATTTAACCAATGACAGTGTTACACTGCCTGTGAGTTTACAGTACTTACATGGAGCTAATGACAGTGTTACACTGCCTGTGAGTTTACAGTACTTACATAGAGCCAATGACAGTGTTACACTGCATGTGAGTTTACAGTACTTACATGGAGCCAATGACAGTGTTACGCTGTTTGAGTTTACAGTACTTACATGGAGCCAATGACAGTGTTACACTGTTTGAATTTACAGTACTTACATGGAGCCAATGACTGTTACTCTATTTAAGTTTACAGTACTTACATGGAGCCAATGACAGTGTTACACTGCCTGTTAGTTTACAGTACTTACATGGAGCCAATGACAATGTTACACTGCCTGTGAGTTTACAGTACTTACATGGAGCCAATGACAGTGTTACGCTGTTTGAGTTTACAGTACTGCATGTGTTCCTGTTCCAGACTGATCACACAGGTCAGCACCTGGTTTAGGGTCTTGAAGCAGGACTGAGTGTCCTCGATGTACGGCTGATGAATTGTTTCTGGTAAACCCATGTAAACTTCCTGTGAGGCGCACGCATCTGGTGACAAGAAAGGCGTTCTTTTACTTCATCTGTCACATCTCTAGAGTTAGACATTAATTGAATTTTCTTTATCAGGTGCTTTACTGAACAGACATTATTAGAAACAAGCTTGAAATTCAAATATACTTAACCATACCTGTGTAAACCTCAAACAGATAGGAATATTGGACTGTTGACTATGTTTGTAGACCCAAAGACAAGCTTGTTAAATACTGGGTATTCAATGTCATTAACAAAATATAAAGATTTCTGATTTTCCATTTTTTTTTAGATTAACTGATACTTTAGAATATATCACCATCTTGTGATTTTTGAATGTCAACGTTAACATGTCTTACAACAATGTATATGCAATAAGACACAGTACTCTGAGTTTGCCCAGTACAGAAGTTTGACCCCATATAACGTGCTCAATTCATTGGTCATGTACCAAAGTTTTACATTTTACCAGACATCAACAGCTACATATATAGCCTACTGAACAAGACGAAACATACAACAACATACAACATCACAAACGTTTACCTGATTGTCCTCCTGTGAGAGCTTGCAGTGATGGAAATAAAACAGTTCATGAAACTCTCATGTGTTAAAATAGTAATATTTGAAGTATTAAAAATGGTTTCTTATGTTATTCTATACAACGTAGTTTGTGAAGATCATTATGCAGGCTCTGTAAGATCATTATGCAGGCTCTGTAAGATCATGAAAATGTCTTGGACTTCAGTTCAAATTTCAGTTATTATAGATAGAACAATTCAATCAGGAATTGTTCAAAAATAACAAGAAATTTGATATTTGGGTAATTGCAATAAATGTTTGCATATATGTCCAATCAAATTCAGATACCACATAGGAAAATGCACCACAGTGTATAACATTATGAGAGAAAAGACATTTTGTTACTTGCAAAGTTTTGTAATGACACAGTACACTCCGAAATATTTCACTGTATCCAGTGTAGTTATTAAGATGATGAATACCTTGCATAGCCTCCAACTTCTCCATGTAGCTCAGATATAAGGAATGTATTCTCTCCACCTCTCTGTCGGAGTCAATGTTGACTTGTATGTCTGTGACGGACAGACCACCAGTGACAGGGGTACAGCCAGGCGAGGCTTGGTCTGGTACTTTACAGCTGTAAACATTAATATAGGTATAAACACTGATGACAGAGGTACAGACAGGGGAGGCTTGGTCTAGTACTTTACAGCTGTTAACATTAACATAGGAATAAACACTGGTGACAGGGGTACAGACAGGGGAGGCTTGGGCTGGTACTTTACAGCTGTAAACATTAACATAGGTATAAACACTGATGACAGAGGTACAGACAGGGGAGGCTTGGTCTGGTACTTTACAGCTGTAAACATTAACATAGGTATAAACACTGATGACAGAGGTACAGACAGGGGAGGCTTGGTCTAGTACTTTACAGCTGTAAACATTAACATAGGTATAAACACTGGTGACAGGGGTACAGACAGGGGTACAGACAGGGGAGGCTTGGTCTGGTACTTTACAGCTGTAAACATTAACATAGGTATAAACAATGGTGACAGGGGTACAGACAGGGGTACAGACAGGGGATGCTTGGTCTGGTACTTTACAGCTGTAAACATTAACATAGGTATAAACACTGGTGACAGGGGTACAGACAGGGGATGCTTGGTCCAGTACTTTACAGCTGTAAACATTAACACAGGTATGATGCTTGGTCTGGTACTTTACAGCTGTAAACATTAACATAGGTATAAACCCTGGTGACAGGGATACAGACAGGGGAGGCTTGGTCTGGTACTTTACATTCATGGCATTTAATTAATGTTGCAGATAACCAATACAGCACTTATCAACACATCTTTAAAAATAAACAGAGGTCAAATCAAGTGAAAAGATATAACATAAATATCCAGACTTCTGTAAAATTGTCCAGGACAAACAAATCAATAGCAATGCAGCTGATATTTCTTAGTCCCACTTTGTAGCAAACTGTATTCTGTATTCTGACTTACCACAGCCAGTGGCCATTGATGAAGGCAGCAGGGTGGAACACTTTTAACCGGTTCCGGTTTGTGTGACACACTTTCATAAGAATGTCCAGCCTACAAGTACAATTTATATGTATATCATTAACATTGTATGGAAACACAAATTTTTACCAATACATGACTGGCATGGGAATAAACATTTGACAAACACATTGCTTTAAATACCTGCATTAGCCTAGAAGTTAACTTCTTACTTTTGTATAACTGTAAGTGATGTCCATCAAAGTATAAATTGTACTCAGCAGCTGACAGCACAAAAATGCCATTAGAAGTACATGGGATGCCGGTCATTTACAGGTATACTTCCCAGTTTATCTGTTTGTATTTATGTAGCTAGAGAGGTTAGAGGTTTATCAGGATAAAGGATTTCCTTAGTATTCCACCTACCATTCTTTCTCCTCTACACAGTTAGTGGCCTGTATGTACAGAGCTCTCTGTGGCTGTACCACCTGGAACATCTACAACACACACACAGTTTATTACTTTCATTGTCTGTCACCTGACTCACTGCATCTCTTACTTATTGTCATCGGGTGTAGAGCCATCGCCGTACTTCTGATCTAGGTTTTGTAGGTTCCGTTATCCCTTGCTTGGATACCCAGGGGTATGCAGGGCGATTGAGGAACGGGAAACTAAAGGCAATATTCAATCGCAACAAGCTCAGGATAGGTTGGTTTCTTTATTGTATGTCTACCGGTTTCGCCCGAACATGTGGGCTTCTTCAGGACCCGAAGAAGCCCACATGTTCGGGCCAAACCGGTAGACATACAATAAAGAAACCAACCTATCCTGAGCTTGTTGCGATTGAATATTGTCTTACTTATTGTGTGATAAACAAGAGGCCCAGAGGGCCTGTATCTCTCACCTGGATATCTAAGCAATAATGGCAAAATATTCTCCTTAGAAGATCCAATGGAATAGGCCAGACCCTAAGGGCCAAACCTTGTAGCATATCTGGATTAGATTGTTCATGCCAAGCAAGTTTATGTATGGTTATGAGGTGGAAATCTCAACTGTTTCCAAGCTGTGACTAAGAAACTAGGTCCCTAGGGTTGTGGCCAGACCCCAGGGTCAAATATTATATTATGACAGCATTTATCTCTTTATGCCCAGCATTTGTATATAGTTTTGGGTTGGGGATCTCAACCGTTTCAAAGTTATGACCCAGGGGTTAAGTTTGCAAGGGTGGGGCAGATCCCGGGGTTAATTCTAATATCATGACAGCATTTGTCTCTTTATGCCCAACAATTGTATATATAGTTTTGGGGTGGGGATCACAACCGTTTCAAAGATATAAACCAGAAACTAAGTCCCTAGGGGTGGAGAAAGGGCCTATTTTTACACCATGCTTGTGTTTATCTCTTGATGCCCAGCGATGCTATATATGGTTATGGCATACCTGCTAAATGACCCGCCCGCAAAATTAACTTATCACCTGCGACCAATTGATGACCCGCGCGGGTCATACACATCTCTTGATTCCGTCCACATGACCCGGAATCACTCGCCTCCGTGCTCGTATTAGCTCTTTTGTGGAAGCCAGGCAAAAATTATTAGTATGTCTGCTATTACAATACTTTGTGGAAAAACGATTTTGAGTGTCTTCATAAAAAAATGTTGAGCTCTATAGATCATTCTTATTGTATACTACTTAAATTCTTTCGGTAGGTTTGGGTGCTCTTTATGACATCAACAGACATACAATGAACGATTTTCACGAAATGTGACGACAAGGTTATAAACGCAAAGTCGTTATTTAGTAGCTTAAATTCTGAGCACATTAATTACTTTCTCACCAGCAGATCATGATTATTTTAATTTACCAAAATCTGCATGATAATGCTTCCCGATATCTATCACGAGATTGCTTTAAAATTTGTTGCAGTCCTAAAAATTTGAGTGTACCAAGATATTATACCAATATCATAAATACCTGTACTGTATTTAACATTAAATGCATACTTTATTTATTTTTTTATGTTTCCAACCTGCAGGCAGTCAGATTCCCAATGTAGTACATAAAGATGAGAGAGAAAAATAGATATAGGAGCTTCTAAATGAGTCCATGCTCCCAGTATGCATCACTGATGAAAGATGCAAAGTTTTCTACAATTAACTCAAACTACCTGTATGTACAAGGATATAAGTATTTTGAAAAGAGAAAATGTAATAAAACAAAATGTGTGAAAAGATTTGTTTTATTTATTTAAAAAAAAAGGTTCTAAATCCTACAAGAAGACACAACATATGTTATGCTGTGACAGCGCGAAAATTCAATGATTATTTTTGATGTGATTTTATTTGTCGCGCGTTATCATAACCCCCATTGGGAGATTCAGGTGTTAGCAGGTATGTTATGGGGTGGGGATCTCAACTGTTTCAAAGATATAACACAGAAACTAAGTCCCTAGGGATGAGGAAAGACCTGAGGGCCTATTTTTACATCATGGTTGTGTTTATCTCTTGATGTCCAGCAATGCTATATATGTTTATGGGGTGGGGATCTCAACTGTTTCAAAGATATAACCCAGAAACTAAGTCCCTAGGGGTGAGGAAAGACCCCAGGGCCTATTTTTACATCATCCTTGTGTTTATCTCTTGATGCCCAGCAATGCGATATATGGTTATGGGTTGGGGATCTCAATTGTTTCAAAGATATAACCCAGAAACTAAGTCCCTAGGGGTGGGGAAAAACCCCAGGGCCAGGTGAGCTAAAAACTTGTAAAAGGACGTATAGTCCTTCACCATACATGCATACGTAGCAAACTATAGGTCAAAGGTCATTGTTCTTCACCTAAAGTTCATTTGAAGAAATATTTGAACAAACTTGATATCCCTTCACCTCAGCAAGCTACTATCATGACTCTAGACCTTATGGTTCTATAGGAGTTATTTAAAGGAAACAGGACAACAGACAAAAACCGGTCCTTGGGGTAAGTTAACCAGATGAGCTATATGAGGTACGGTAGTCTAGTGGTAGCTATATATAGGATGCCGAGCTCGTGACCGAAAGATTGTGAGTTCGAGTCACGTCATGGCACTGTGTTGTATCTTTGAGCAAAATACGCCGCTTGTTCCAGTCTACTCAGCTGTAAATGAGCACATGGTTGGGCAGTGCTAGAATTGTAGAATGCTAGCTGTGAGCAACGAAATGGCAGCACCGTCTGTATGCTCCCCAGGGAGTTGAAAAAGATATTGGCTGGTTGTAAAGGCCCTATAACCACGGATAATAATTTGTGAACCGCATTGAGACAACCTACGAACTAGGTTTTGATAAAGCGGTATATAAGAACCTCAAATTATTATTATTATATAATTCTGGACTATAAGGACCTCACACTCACATATTTCATTTTGAAGGACTCTTCTTGCAGCGTCTCCACAGCGAGAATATCCTCTATAGAGATGACACACAGGGGTGGATCATCCCGACTTTTCGAGTAAAAGAAGTGCTGATTTGTTAAACAGAAATAGCGTCGTTTGAAATTCTTCATTCCAAACTTCTTTCTTCCCTGGGCACGCTTGATAAGGAATCTGAAAACAAAGACAACAGTAAGATAGCTGTACAATATTGAATCACATATTTAAACAAAACTCATTTGAGTATAATAATGGATTTTACTCTCCACTTGAAGTACATGTCAAAGAGATTAGCATTTGATCATATTCCCTGCATAAAGATCATGTATTAAACAAGATAAATATTGGATCACATTCCCTGCCTACAGAAAATGGTACGATAAAAACATTGGATCACATTCCCTGCCTACAGAACATGGTACAAGATAAACATTGGAGATTATGCCCCCTGCCTACAGAACATGGTACGAGATAACCATTGGATCACGTTCCCTGCCTACAGAACATGGTACAAGATAAACATTGAATCATATTCCCTGCCCTCAGAACATGTAACAAGATAAACATTGGATCACATTCCCTGCCTACAGAACATGGTACGAAATAAACATTGGATCACATTCTCTGCCTACAGAACATGGTACGAGATAAACATTGGATCACGTTCCCTGCCTACATAACATGGTACAAGATAAACATTGGATCACATTCCCTGCCTACAGAACATGATACGAGATAAACATTGGATGATATTCCCTGCCTACAGAACATGGTACGACATAAACATTGGATCATATTCCCTGCCTACAGAACACGGTACAAGATAAACATTGGAGCATATTCCCCCTGCCTACAGAACATGGTACGAGATAAAGATTGGATCATATTCCCTGCCTACAGAACATGGTACAAGATAAACATTGAATCATATTCCCCGCCCTCAGAACATGTAACAAGATAAACATTGGATCACATTCCCTGCCTACAGAACATGATACGAGATAAACATTGGATGATATTCCCTGCCTACAGAACATGGTACGAGATAAACATTGGATCACATTCACTGCCTACAGAACATGGTACGAGATAAACATTGGATCATATTCCCTGCCTACAGAACATGGTACAAGATAAACATTGGAGCATATTCCCCCTGCCTACAGAACATGGTACGAGATAAAGATTGGATGATATTCCCTGCCTACAGAACATGGTACGAGATAAACATAGGATCACATTCCCTGCCTACAGAACATGGTACGAGATAAACATTGGATATTCCCTGCCTACAGAACATGTAACAAGATAAACATTGGATCACATTCCCTTCCTACAGAACATGGTACAAGATAAACATTGGATCACATTCCCTGCCTACAGAACATGGTACAAGATAAACATTGGAGCATATTCCCCCTGCCTACAGAACATGGTACGAGATAAACATTGGATCACATTCTCTGCCTAAAGAACATGGTACGAGGTAAACATTGGATCACATTCCCTGCCTACAGAGCATGGAACAAGATAAACATTGGATCACATTCCCTGCCTACAGAACATGGTACAAGATAAACATTGGATCACATTCCCTTCCTACAGTACTGAGTTGGTTACTTTAGAAGGGTGAACGTTTGACAGAAGTTTCCTGGTATATAGGATCTGTTTCTATATGAGAGATTAACACATACCCTTCCTTCAGTATGATGGGAACCTCTATGATGATACTTTTAGTGTTAGCGCGTGCGGCTGAAGATATCATATCCAGATACTGCAATAGAAAGGAAACTAGAAATTTGTTTTTGTGAACAATTTTTACACGTTATACAGTTCTGGATTAAGACATTCAGTTTAGTGTCAGTATGTAATTAGTTGGTTTTAGTTTTGTGTATGCTGTAATCCTTACCATTCTAATGCCATCGATATGTTCAGCATCATTGAAGGACTTGAATAATGGAACCATATACTCCTCTTTGAGACCAAACGATAACTGGAAGATAAAGTTATAATACACATGGTCAATTAGGTAACTCATACTTGTGTTACTGATGTAAAATAGCATTTCTATGAATTTTGGCAAAATTTTACTACTTAAAAGATTCAAAGAGTTATCATCTTAATAACAGCATCAAAGCCATCCTGTTTTCAAAACATAAAAAGTTTTAAAATTTTAAAATTTTACCGCAGGGCGGAACAATATACCATATAGTGTAACAGTTGTATATACTTTCTTACATTGAAATGACATGCTTTAACAAATGTAGAAGAAATTCTCCGGTCAAAAAGTGAAATACTGAAATGAACAAAGGGCAATAACTTTTGCAAAAATAGTTGAATCAAAATTCTATTCAGGGAGACACAACTTCATATCATGATTATAATGTATATCAAGTTTCAAAGAGATCCATTGAAAAATGTAGGAGGAGATTGCCGGACAAAAATCAAATGCCTGGCACTGAAATAAACAAAGGGCAATTACTTTTGGAAAAATTGTCGAATCAAAATTCTTTTCAAGGAAACACAACAATATATCATGATTATTAAGCCTACTAAGTTTCAAAGAAATCCGTCAAAAAATGTAGGAGGAGATTTCCGGACAAAAAAACTCAAATACTGAAATGAACAAAGGGCAATAACTTTTGGAAAATTTGTCGAATCAAAGTACTTTTAAGGGAGACACAACTTCATATCGTGATGATAATGTATACCAAGTTTTAAAGAGATCCGTTGAAAAATGTAGGAGGAGATTACCGGACAAAAATCAAATACTGAAATGAACAAAGGGCAATAACTTTTGGAAAATTTGTCGAATCAAAGTTCTTTTAAGGGAGACACAACTTCATATCATGATATATTGTATACCAAGTTTCAAAGAGATCGGTCGAACAATGTAGTAGGAGATTGCCGGACAAACAACAGTTTACGCCGGACGGACGGACGGACGGCAGGACGGACAACACCATACCATAATACTCCCATTAAATTTGACGGGTGTATAAAAAGAAGTCAAATTTTATAAAGTCCTATTCTCATTAAATTACAGTTTTAAAACTGCATGTTATTTTCTCAGAGAACTGTGCCTATATCACATTTGGTCTAAATTTAATTTTTATATAATATATTTGATCCCTTTCACCACTGTAGACCATAATGGACTCATCAATATCAATACATGGTAGAGTCAACTAAAGTGTGAAAGGGTTAAAAAGTTTATCACAACTCATGCCAATTTCAACTACCAGCTTATGCAGTATTTGATTACCTCTATAACAGAATGACATATATGACTTTTTATATCACAGATCTACAGGTAGCTTTGACTAGGTGTTATCTGTAACCTACTGATTAGGTATCTACAGGTAGTTTTAACTAGGTGATATCTGTAACCTACTGATTAGGTATCTACAGGTAGATCTGACTAGGTGATGTCTGTAACCTACTGATTAAGTTGAAGAAATTAAATCTGTTCCTTACCGACTTAGAACTGACCAGATTTCCCAGGCCCTGCAAGGCTTTGGACACAAGTGTTAGGGTTCGATTCACGCACATATCCTGAAACAAGATTCATTAATGCAAATATAAAAATATGTTTTGATTAGGTATATGCAGCTGATATGTATGTTAATAAATCACAATCTAGATGTACATTTATGATATTTACAATAATATTACATAAGTAGACAATGTATTCTGATGAACAGAACTTTTCTAAAGATTGATAAATATATACATAATACGTTGTAGCATGATTTAACTTCAGCTCAATAATATCAAAATCTATTTATTAATTTTCAATGGGGGAGACAAGTCATATTAATGTTAGTCAAATCTGAAACAAAATGCTATAATACATGAGATTCATATTGACCAAGTTTTCTTTGGATTGAAACATCAACTAATTTTGAGGCGATGTATATTATCAGCTTTACCACCGCACAAGAGCTATGTAACATTATGTAAAAACCTGTGTATCTGTCCTCAGGTCAAACAGGCGAGGTCCAAGGATGGCCGGAGCGAAAAACCGCAGGAAAATGAATCCACTGACCACCTGGTACCGTACTAGAGGGCTATCTGTAATAGTCAAAAAGAGTTCTCTGTAATGAGCAGTTGCCTACAGAAAAGTATGTTCCCTGGAGAGGCTTAAGACAGTTAGTCTCAATGAATTTACAGATCTCAAGAAACATATAGCTCAGGGCATTAGGAATTCTAATTAACAGGGACTTGTTTTTTATGTGGACCAATCAGTTTGCCTGTTTTTTTTCCAAATATTTATATTTAAATACTACAAACATGTAAAACCTGACAGAACTAGTACTGCAACGTTAATGCAGTCCTTGAAAGTCTTTCTGAAGGCTCACCAGAAAAAACATTAAATCACTAGGTCCATCCCTATTTCATAAACAAACCAGTTTGGAATGCAATAAACGGAAACAGTCGAAGTAAATGTCCAATGCATAAATATATATATATATAAACATTGTACCAAAATCATTTTATCCTTTCACAAATCAACGTGTATTGATCAATGTATTTGTGAATCAACAAATGGGCAGGTGCGTACAAATGGGTACGCAAATGGGCAGGTGCGTACAAAAGGTACAAATGAGCAGGTGCATACAAATGGAACAAATGGGCAGGTGCGTACAAATGGTACAAATGGGCAGGTGCGTACAAATGGTACAAATGGGCAGGTGCGTACAAATGGTACAAATGAGCAGGTGCATACAAATGGTACAAATGGGCAGGTGCGTACAAATGGTACAAATGGGCAGGTGCGTACAGATGGGCAGGTGTGTACAAATGGGCAGGTGCGTACAAATGACTGTGGTGTGTATTTGTGCACCAATAATAAGTATGAAGGAAACACAATCCTAGTGATCAGTAGTGATGGATCACCTTATTTAATTCAGTATGAAGAAAGTATTTGTGTGGTGTGTCGTAGGAGTGTAACAGTTTACCTGGGAAGTATTTGTCTGCTATGTCGTAGGAGTGTTACAGTTTACCTGGGAAATATTTGTCTGCTGTGTCGTAGGAGTGTAACAGTTTACCTGGTAAGTATTTGTCTGCTGTGTCGTAGGAGTGTTACAGTTTGCCTGGGAAGTATTTGTCTGCTGTGTCGTAGGAGTGTAACAGTTTACCTGGGAAGTATTTGTGTGCTGTGTCATAGGAGTGTAACAGTTTACCTGGGAAGTATTTGTCTGCTGTGGTGTAGGAGTGTAATAGTTTACCTTGGAAGTACTTGTGTGCTGTGGTGTTGGAGTGTAACAGTTTACCTGGGAAGTATTTGTGTGCTGTGGTGTAGGAGTGTAACAGTTTACCTGGGAAGTATTTGTGTGCTGTGTCCTAGGAGTGTAACAGCTTACCTGGAAAGTATTCCTGAGCTGCCTCTTTTAGAGCGAAGAACACTTCACATAAAATGGTGGGACACATCAAACCAGAGTGGACAATACTCTGGAAAACTTGTTCAACGTAACGTTTCAGATTTTTCTGGAAAAATGGAAACCTTGATTATCACCAGTGTGTGATTCCCATTACCACAAATCAATTGATGATCAGCTTCAGGAGTAACCTGTAATCGCTCAAACCTCACTTGTTTTTTTATATAAGTACACTGGTGACTGTCAGTAGATATTTCACACATTGCTGTAGTTTATTTTTGTTTTGGACTTAATTGGTCTGGTTACACAGAGCCTATCAAAAATGAAAACAAAATATAAACAAATTTCATTTTCCACTGATTTAAACTTCTTTCATAAAGACTTAGATTCAATTTGAAGGACCATGGATTAAATACAATGCCAAAGTTAATCTTATGTTAGGAAGACAAGGACTCTTTATATACCTTGGAGGTAATGTATGCATACATACACTAGATATACACATCTTATACAATTTATACATCATATACTGTACAGACACTCACACCCGATTTGCTCACTGTACTGTTTAGTTCTACCATCCCTAATATCACCTACTTACCATATTGTCAGACAGGTTCTCCCCGTCTTTAACGCGGGCAGGGTCAATTTCACAAGACAGATGTTCTGTACAAATCTGCAATAAAGACATCAATACTGTACAGGAAAATTGGCTGTAACTTTACCTCAACTCTAACAGACATATAACAGAAATATAACACTTTGATTTTCCTTAACTTTTTGAGAAATCACATGTATTGCTCATTGTAAATTTAAAAGGATGTTGAAAAATTAAAAAACGTAGCAGATAAAAACTTCAATAATAAATATTACTACAAATATGTTGTCATCCTTACCTCATCAACAGTTGCTTTGATAGCTTCGTGTAGACATGGCAACCCCACCAGTTTCATCAGCTCATCTATCACCTTGGTGATCAGAGTGTTACCACGGAAAACTGTATTAGGGTCCCTGTAAAATTATATACTTTTATCACCTTGGTGATCAGAGTGTTACCACGGAAAACTGTGTTAGGGTCCCTGTAATATTATATAGTTTTATCAACTTGGTGATCAGAGTGTTACCATGGAAAACTGTGTTAGGGTCCCTGTTATATTATATAGTTTTCTTTTATATTATATAGTTTTATCACCTTGGTGATCAGAGTGTAACCATGGAAAACTGGGTTAGGGTTCCTGTAATATTATATAGTTTTATCACCTTGGTGATCAGAGTGTTACCACGGAAAACTGTGTTAGGGTCCCTGTAATAGTATATAGCTTTATCACATGAGTCACACACTGAGATGCTTATAGGAAACAACACACTATTTACATTTATCTTATATGTTGTTTATCTACTGAACTTTCACTGCTTTTGTGGTTTTGACAGTGTTAAATACAAAACCAAATGGTCCCCAAAATGGCATTGTATATAATGTGTGTGTGGTAATTTAGGAAAGTGTTATTATAGGTACATGAACTAATCAGTGATTGCACTTGTACAATTGATGTACCCTCAGGTGTAAGCACATGGTAAGTACATTGATTACATTTACTGTATATAATGTGGATTCACATATGCTCAACCATTTCTTGTGCATGTATTTACCTTTCACAATATATCAAAATATTTTCTCACAAGTCAAGATGAGGGTTTAATATAACACTATATTTTGGAATGCTTACGATGTTAGTTTGATTTCTGCCCTTGCTAATGCCCGCACAAATGGGACTAATTTTTTATGGTGGAGAAATATCCTCATGATAGGTTGTGCAGCATCCTGTCTACTCTCGACTACATCACCAAGAATAGCAGCTGCACTCGACGACACAGGCTGGAAAGTCAAACATCACAGTTACTTAGTTTATACCAGCAAAATTAGGTTCAATAGTAGGACTTAGTTCATACGAAATAACCAGGGTTATACACTAGTATATATACATGTCTGAGGTCATACAACATATCAAGGGTCCTACAGTAGTACACACTAGGTAACCCCAAAATAGCCATGACTCCAAAATAGTATAGTCATTCTTCTTTTCTTGCTATTTAAAATATTTTTAGCTTGTTTGCCTAAAAATTACTTTTCTCTCTGATTTCTTTTTCACATTTGCTTCTATGTCTATGTCTACTGGAGGGGATGTTTTATTGAGGTAGGGGATACAACTTCAACACTGATGATGTAAATGTAATTAAGTCTTGGTCTTACCTCAGTATTCACAGACTGTAGGAGAAGCTCCCTGAGATCATTGTAATATTCGGATTTGAACACATGTTCTGAGGTATAGGAGATTTTGAGGCGAAGGGCTCCAAGGTCCTGGTTAGATTGTTTCCAGCCCTCTCGACTGCCAAGGCAGTACCTATAAACAAAATAGTCATTAACAGGGGTAATCATTTCTTAGCATATAGATTGTGATCCCCACAACAGGCTGATGATAATACCAAGTTTCATAAAAACCTGACGTGGTTTCTGAGTAGTATTCAAAAATATGATTGTTTACCGACGCTCATGGCAGACACCTATAGACAATAGACACTCACAGACAACACCTACAATAAATGAGAGAATCAGGTAACCTAAAACTAGAAAAGTTAGAGTCCTGAAACTTACCAGGCTTTGTGTGAGGTTCCTGAGGTGAGGTTTTGGAGAGGAATCTTTACCTCACCTAGAAATGAACCGGGAAACATTCCCCCCAGGACTTCACGCGACACCAGGGAGTCATCGTGCCAAAGGGACACACTGAAATAGGTAAAATATCAAATACATAAAATTATACAAGAAAACTACATATCTATAAACTCAAAGACTAAAAAAATGCCTATAATAAAACACTTGTGTTATGTACCCTATTAGGTGCTGTTATAATGAGTTAATGAAGGAAACTTTGATACATAGAAACAAGAGGTCAAATGGCCTTCTGCTTACCTACTGTAAACCAGGAAATTTTCGCAGCAGTTTAATTATTCGCCTTTTTCGTCTTCCATAATGAGAGTGAGTTTATCGTTACAGCAAACAGTAGTAAGTGATGTAATAAACATAGTAACCAAATGTGAAGGGCGATATAAACATTGGGCAAAAGTTTCCCTGTAATACAGTTTACCAAATTGGCTCAGTAAAACTCCGAATAGTATTCATAGTTTTATACAATTATTTATTACAAGGCTTGGGGAAACTGGTATTGAGGTTTCTGCCACTTACCTTATATAGGCCTTGAACGCATGCTCAATGTTATAATTGTTCCGGTCATGGTTTTGACCTCTGTTTTCTAGCTGTCGATACGGAAGTAGAGTAAGTATTAGATTAGGTAACCAGGTAGTGGACAATTGCACATCAATAAGTATGCTCTTTTTATCCCTGGTTCACTTATACCAGAGAGAATTTTTAACAATAAAATATATATCACTTTAATTAAAATATATATCACTTTAATTTGCAAATAGAAATATGTTACGTTTTCAAATAATTATATTGTCGACAATGACCTCTTGTCAAGTTTTTAGTACTGCTGATACCATACAGCATCCACACAACCAGAGCTCTGGTCTCCAGGGTGATATATGATGTCAATGAAACAGTGGGTCATATCTACACAACCAGATCTCTGGTCTCCTGGGTGATATATGATATCAATGAAACAGTGGGTCATATCTACACAACCAGAGCTCTGGTCTCCAGGGTGATAATGATGTCAATGAAACAGTGTGTCATCAAGTACAGAAAGATTGAAAACACGAAACAAAATTACCTCAATATAATTATATTACTACAAACTAGTAATCTGGAGTTAAAGTTGTCTATAATTGCTATGAAACCAATCAATATAAACAGGAAGTTGGAACATTATATATCAGTCTCTGGAATAATGGCCCATTTGATGCAACATACAAAATCTATAGTCAGCAAAGCAATAGATTTTACACTATGCATTATTTTTTATTATTTACTTACCAAAAAGAAAAAAGTTTCATCAAAATGAGGACAAATGGTCTTTTTCCGCACATTGGTCCGCTTGATTTCCTGTTTGTGTTTGGATTTGTAGTTTAAGGTCACGACCGCATATGGGTTACATGCTCCGTTGACAACAGTAAGGTCACCACATTCTACGACCCTGTAATGGAGAATGTTAAACTGTTGATATCCTCCTTACCACTGACACATGATCCTTTATATGCATTTAATTCAGAGATGACTTAATATTTCCTTTTCTTTCTATTTATAGAGTTAACAATATAAACAAATTTTATATGACCAAGTATTAAACAAAGCGTAGCTGCATCAAGTCATTTCGGTACATATATAACAACTATTTGTGCATACTCTTACAGTGTAGCCGAATCGACAATGATTTGTGGACAACTCCTACATATTTTAAACCTTTGTGTACATACGCTTCACTGGCCATTTGTCTGATGAAGCTTCATCAGACAAATGACCGATACATATAAACACTTTTTGGTTGTGCTACATGAATCTTTTCACAATCCATACTTACCAACCTGAAGAAAATGTTTAGAAACAATTAAAGAAACCCTATATATTGGAAGGACAGACTAACCTGATGGACAGCCCTTGAGTTGGTTCAGAATCTGTGCAAAGAAACTCATCAAATTTGATCTCTAAATGAACCTTGCCCTGAAAAAGACATAACAAAATGTGCACAATCCACATACTGTCCACAAAGCCTTGGTTCCTTAAAAAGAATTTGTCCTACCCCATATATCTACATATAGTAGAGTGAATTAATCAAAGGCGAGCTGTCATTAGGGGATAGACCCAATTAATCAAAGAGAGAACTATCATTAAGGTACCGTGTCTTATTATTACAGGTTGTACTATAATTAAGGGGTGGGCTATTACTTAGCAAATAAGTCTCTATTTAGGGAGGACAGCAGGTTATATTATTATAAGTCAGGGTTTTTGCCAGCTATTTTGGGAAAGGGCCCCTGAGCAGGAATTGGGAAAATACCATCAGCATTTGGCAAAAATTGGAAAATATCATTGATGTTTCCACACATACATGTTTGGGAAAATATCATAGTCTGGGGGAAAAACTAAAATGTGATTTGCAAAAAGTTTTCCTGTAGCTGTTTCTTACAGTAAAAATGTATAGCAATAAACTAACACATAAATTTTCAGTGTTTATGTTTATTCAGTTTCAAATTTTTGTTATTTATGTATTTTGAATGCTCCTTCATTGACGGTAATACTTTGAATACTGCACATATAATGACTGGAAATTTGTATTAACATGCTTTTTAATCCAATTGGGAAAATAAAGACTGAAATTGGGAAAATACAGGGTCATTTTTAATTGGGAATGGGTCCATGTACTGGACCCTATAAACACCTAGCAAAAACCCTGTAAGTAAATATTAGGAACCAGGCTATGAGTAGAGACTTATCACTATAGAAACTGGGCAAATATTCCGTGTAATATTATTATTAATCCTGGTCTAAGAACTGGTATAGACTGGGAAAACGATGTTATTGGAGTCTGGACCATTATCAGGAGAGGGATTAATTTGTTTTTACAGTCTCAGCTATCACTAGGTGACAGGTGAATATCAGAATCATTACTGTACATGAGGATTAGAATCTGGATTTATATTTACCAGAACTTCTGAGTCAGCATCAGCGGGGAAGAGAGGGAACCAGTGATCCTTCCCATGGTATTTGTACAGTTCTTGTCTTCGGAGTGAAACTTTTCCTAAAACCTGCAAAAACAACAGAGTTCTAAAAGGATGCAACGTTTTGGAGATGACTTCAATAAATCTCTTACTACCTCACGTATGTCCTTATTCATCATCTTGTGGTGCACATTTATTGAGCTTCCAATCCTCATTAATCGCTACCACTTATTTGTTTGCTCCCAATCCAAACAATATAGAAAGCTTACCTTGTTTACATGGAACTGAATCCTACCTTGTTAGACTTTTGACTGGCTTCGTAGATATAAAAAGACAGGTAACGAAATTTATGTGGAATCTCTCCCGAAAACTCCTCCCCATAAAATGGACTGAAAATATCAAATAGTTTATGTAAAAAAAAACAGAAACCAGACTAAGAGATTATAACAAATATAGAAGGTGTCTCAAGTTAAGACACTAGAAACCATACATGTACTTAAGTCATTAATGACTTTTTATAAATCTAGAAAGAATCTTGGCTAAAGTGGTTCTACAGCAGAAACAGGTTTCCAAATTACAGGAGTTTTACTAGGTTATTTAGAAATTTACTTTAAATCCAGAAAAAAAGGTTACAAATGTTCAGACTTCACAAGCTACATGTAGTACTAACAACTGTAATAGAACTTGATTTCAATATAAAAGGAAAATTGTTCGTAGTGACAGATTCTTACTTGAGGTCTTTTTCAACAATTTGTGTCCTGAAGATTTCCTCACGATCAAGTTTGATTGTACACAGTGTGTTGCGGCCAGCATTAATGGATACAGTGTGAGGAGGCAGGTTTTTAGCTTCACCTAGCAACACAGAAAATATGTCCTCTTACATTCTATATAATTTGTACAACATACATATTGATATAATATCTTTCAAGTAATACTCTATTACATGCTAAAAAAAGTTTGTGACCGTGGCAAAATATAAGGTTACACATTAATACTATGAAGTTTTCTTTATTATTCCTCCTTATATATTTAATTTTAAGATTTTGTTTGATATTACTACTTTTTACTCTAACAGCAGATGTCTAGATTTCTTCACCATTTATTTTCTTTTACAATGATCACTCGATGAATGTCCAACATCATTTCAGATAATGCCTCATTTTATTCAACTTGGTACCGTATCTGCACCAACTGCAATACATGTAATAGCAACTGCAATACATGTAATAGCACACATAGCAGACTTGTTGAGAACAGGTTGTGCTATGAAAATAATAATGTATTATTAAAAGCTAATATTAAAAAAGAGTTTAACTTAGCAAATAACAGCTAAATGAAATGTTACTCATATTAGACAGCCGATGGGAATTTGATGTGTGAACAGAAAATAACTTATACAATACAAGATAATGCAGGTGTCTGTATTCTATGATGGTAGGGGAAAACAGGATCATTGATGTGATCATATTAAGCAGACCTCAGACTGTCTCAGCGCTAAAACTGTTAACACCTAATATATTTTCTACAGTATAAAACCTGACAAAACAACCATTAGTAAACCAACATACATATATGGCTTCAAAAAGGAAATAACCTTAAATCTATATAACTACTGTATAATCACATCAACCCTCCTCCAGATGTTAATGTTATGACTGTGTTCAGCTGTTCCGTCTGTTGACAAATTGGAAAATGGATGAACTGTTTAGAATTTCGTGACGATTTGGCGATGGAAATTCTTACAAACGACTTCTTGACCAATCTTTATAGATAATGTATACCTGTCTATTTCAATTCTACATTCACGAAGTACTTACCGATTTTAACCCGGAGGCTCTCCTCCTCCCGTACTTCGCTAGCCATTACTCCATTTCCGCGCTTAGTCAATAAGAGAGGAAGTTCGGTTTGGTATGTAAAAAGGGAGCCAAAAATCTGGTACTAGGATTACGGAATCGGTCGCCCACATTACTCAAAACATTTGCCATATTCATTGTCATTAAATAATCATTCTCATTGCAAACTCTCTTAAAGAAAAATCTTTACAATGCTGCGAACGCAGTTTATAACTTTTCATTTTTTCTTTCTATCTAAATTCTAAATCCGGATCCGTCGTCAACAGGATCCGGGTTGGGTCAGGCGTGTATACGATCAGTGACAAGGAAACTAAACCTTGCCTTTGGTAGGTAACGAAACACGTTTTCTCAAACAATGTGTATTTAACAGACACGTATTTACCAAAACACACATAACACAGATAACTTTCGATGAACAGACCTAGGTAATGAAGAGTAATGTTATAATGTAGGCCAGGAAATACTTGATGGTTAGGCCTATATAGCAGGCCTTGTTGTCAGGCCGATTGAGCTATATTAGTATATAGCTGTAAAGCCCTATGATAGCTCTGTTGACCTATTCTCAAATGATTTTCTTTTTTAAGGAAAACGAAACAAAGTCGCTTTTAAAAGAATAGTATATCATTAGGTTGATAACAAGGTGTCATGTCGTTTCGGTAACAAGGCGAAAGTCGTTTCGGGACATTTTTTCGGGTCGTTTCGGGACATGTCAAAAGTCGTTTCGGAATTTTTCATCTTTTTTTTTTATCTTCTGTAGATATCCTTGTCTCTTTTCTTTAATCATATTTTAATGTCAACTAAATTTAGACAATCTATTGGATAAAAATTATTACAACTTTATTATCATAGCCTTCTCCCTTCATACATTTACCATTTCATGATTTTAATGACTCATGAATAAGTAGATATACACAACATAAAAACATCGTTCAAACAATATTGCTGGATTTGATTCACGTGTCTAAAATATAATCTACGTGTTCATTTTTTACCATTTTTTGCAGATTAAACGCTTGATATAAAAAGTTCTGGTATTAAACTTGTTTTAATATTTAATGAATTAAATGAAAATGTGTTTCTCTTTCTAAAACATCTACAAAAATGGTGGGTCAGTGTGCTTCTTTTTTTGTCCCATTATCATTCGTGTATTTTTTACCTTTTTCGGGGTCAAAAATCAAAAGTGCTTCAGTTACACTAAATATGTAAAATAAATATCAATAATGTATAATTTTCCTGTTTGTTGCCTATTATTTTTATTAGCTCACCTGGTCCGAAGGACCGAGGTGAGCTTATGCCATACCGCAGCGTCCGTCGTCCGTCATCCTGCGTCTGTCGTCTGTCGTCCGTCAACTTTACACTACTAGTCATGAACCACATAACGGATTTTAACAAAATTTGGTGTGGAGCATCCTTGGCTGAAGAAGAACCAATTTTGTATAAATCGTGGGTCTGGCCCCCCAGGGGCCTGAGGGGCGGGGCCAAATAGGGGAAATGTAGCAAATTCTTTAAAATCCTTCTTCTTCTGTAGGAATGGAAGGATTTGTTCCATATTTGGTCTGAAGCATCCTTGGGTGAAAGGGACCAATTTTGTATAAACCCGTGGATCTGGCTCCCCAGGTACCTGAGGGGCGGGGCCAAATAGGGGAAATATAGCAAATTATTCTTTAAAATCCTTCTTCTTCTGTAGGAATGAAAGGATTTGGTCCATATTTGGTGTGGAGCATCCTTGGGTAGTGGGGAACCAATTTTGTATAAACCGTGGATCTGGCCCCCCAGGGGCCTGAGGGGCGGGGCCCAATAGGGGTAACATAGCAAATTATTCTTTAAAATCCTTCTTCTTTTGTAGGAATGAAAGGATTTGGTCCATATTTGGTGTGGA